ACTGGAAAAACATCCACGCACATTTGACGACGCATGCGCCACATAGGATGCAGCACTGTGTGGATGTAAACTTACAGCTACATTCGAGGCACGCGCCGGTGGCAATTTTAGCAGGACCAACAACTGACGCAGAAACAGCAGTAGCTCAGAGAAGGGAGGTCGACTGTCCGGTTGACCCACCGCACCCCAGCAGGACGACAGGAGGTGACTGAACAGGCTCTCCAGTTGGCGGGGAACAAAGGTGGGCGCTGTAAGACGCCAACCGGAAAGAACACGGTCGGCCACTGCCTCCTCCGTCGCACAGGTGGGATAGGGTGTCGAGCCCAACGAAAAGATTTCCCACAGAAGCACACCAAAGGACCAGACATCACTTTTTGGATGCCATACGGGAGGGTTGGCCAGTAGTTCTGGAGCGGACCAACGGATGGGCAGACGGTCCAGTGAGACCTATCGGAGGCAGCAAAAGTAACTGAAATATGGCCTAGAAGACACATGTGAGCATCGGTAGCTTGTAGGATCCCAAGAGAGATCGCTACCCGTATCTTGCAGGACAAGTGGTAATGGGGGCTTTACGGGTGGGGCATCACGCGCGTAGGATGGAAGGTGAAACCCGAGGAAGCGAATTCACGCCGTGAAACTTAAGGTGGGCAGCTGTATAGCAACGGAAAGTTAGAGTGATAATCAAAAAACAAACAAAAAATGGTTTTCAAGAAGAAGCCGCCGATAGTAAGTTTACATCCAGTCAGGCAGCCAAGGCGATTCCAGCCAATAGGAACGACGAGAGATAAGTGATGTTTCCACTCCCACTGGTTTTGAGTGCACGATAGCGAACCCAAATCAGACAATCACAGAAAGCAGAGCGACGCCGGAGTAATGTAAGTATTAACAGATACCGTTGTAAGCTACTAAAGATACCAAATAAAAAGTGTAGAACGATGTTTAGAGGGTAAATTTAAGAAACCATAGGCTGCGTAGGGATAATTGATCAGCCATATATGTAAAAGTTGAAAATCACCCAAATAAGCGAAGACTGCAGTGTAAACAGTAAACATCTATTGGGCGAAGTGTGGGCTGAGTGCAGAGAAGCGTCTGCACTCGCCTAGTTACATGGAAGGAGCAAGGATGGTATGATCGCTTCTCGACTATCTGACCTAAGTTTAAGTAAAGTAAATGCGCAGTGCAAGATAGTATCTGCATTGAGCCTGATACCGGTAGGAAACCGAAGTGTTACTCAGAAGATGAAGATGCGATCACCGGAACAAGAAATTTATTTGCCTGACGTTTCGGATCCTCACTCGAATCCATCATCAGAGACATTCGCAGATCAAGGTTCTGCGGAGGATCTGCGAAGTGTTACTATCGCGTCTCGACTATGTGAACTAGGGTCAAAAGAAGTGTGGGCTGAGTGCGGGGAAGTGTCTGCACTGGCCTCCTTACATGGAGCGTCCAAACAGTGACTGCGTACCGAAACAAGTACAGTAGAAATTCTGTGTAGGATAGTCCTCTTAGGGTCCTACAACCTACTACTACCCACGCGTGTTTAGATCGAAACGTTGTCTGTAAAAGACAGTGGACGGAGGTGCGTGCGTCAGCAAGGGTCATCGAACGAATTGCGTGGACAAGCAACATGGTATACGTACCTTTTTCGGTGAGTCGTCATAAGACCGGGCTAGACCAAAGTCGCAGAGCTTCGCGGTGAAATCGCCGGCGAGAATGACATTCCTAGCGGCCAGATCACCGTGGGATATCTGCACAGGTGAACAAAAAGGGG